TTTTTCTCCACTGTCGCTCCAGTTCGCATCTCTGTACTCAGTTTCAACCGCCATAATACCCCCTTATTGAGTCCCGACTTTTGCCTTTAAGCAACTTCATCGTAGATGTTCAAATTCAACACCGTGGTCGACTATTTTGGTGACTGGTTAACCGTTGGTCTACTCTTCATGCTAAGGCTGGTGGATCGAGCTCACTTCTTTCAGTTCAAAGATTCTTATGCTGCAAGGGCTGCGATGTGCAAGATGACTCGAGTAGTTTCAGGCCGCATAAGAGTAGAAACGCTAGCCGTTCATTATCCATCTGTAAATACTGATGATTCAGTGGTTGGTCCCCAGTTGAGCTTCTTATTCTTCGTACCCCTGATCATTCCATTCACATTCCTCCGATCCTGTCTTGCACCTCCTCCTCTACCCAGCAGGCCCACACGACGCGATTGAACTCGTTATTAGATGAGAGTAACTAGCAACTTCAGTACGAATCTTTACATTAACGAATTAATGATGAGACCTTATGGTACACTTTCAGCTCAACAAAAAACGGAGCAATCTGTCGCACCTACCTTGAGATTCGTGTACTCCTCGCCACCTCGTTTCACCCACGCTACCACATTTCTTTTCGTGCCGTCCATAGCCGCAGTAAGCTGGTCCTGACTCTCAAACTCATTGATGGCCGTTGACAACTGATACTTGACGAAGGCTGTGAGAGCGTCTACTGATCGCGTCGACCTACAACATCTCGGTTATTCAAAAGCCTTCTCGAATATTGATAGCGTTTGAAGGGGACACGGAAATGGATCAAATGATGCCCAGCAGGATGAGCTGACTTTTTGTCTGCCTCTATTGTGCCGTGCCCTCAGCAGTCAGCCACTCACAAGAACTACCATCTCGATAGATATTGCTTTGCATCAAACCATGTCTTATATTATGCATGTGATATGGGTCAATCAAGTGTACAACGCTTCCCGAATTCTCTGCTTGGAGCATACAATTCCATATGTTTACCATTTACCAGTACCATACCATAATAGATTAATTATTCAGTCGATTTCTGATCAAAAAGAAAATAAAGAGTGACCGTTCTAATAATACCTGTACTCCTTTTGAATGAGTTCTCCATTTACGAACACCTTCATTGTTGGATATTTATTCACGTAGTATTTGTCACCAACATCTGCCTAAAAGGCAAATACAATTGGACGTGACCTAGTGCATTCTTCAAAGGCCACTTTCATCTGTGTTCCGTCCATCGTGATTTGCAGGCATATTACCGGGAGGCTTGTGCCCTAAGAATGATCCCCTTTCGCCACAACAATACGGGAGTGCATCGTTTGCAATTTTCTCACAACGCTATCCAAACTACTTTATCTGATGCTGCTCTCCTTACCCCCCCCCCATGAAAATTCAAACTATCCATCCAACCTTTTTTCCACTGTCGCGCCATAACGCTGATCTCATGTCAAAGGGAGACGACACACTTAGCTTTCAAGCTCTCTTCCCTGAAAGGGAACCTCACTCCAACAACATGCTCCCAAAACCGAGAGAAAATCTTTCTTTGATGGAAAAATTCATAGGACTGGGATGAGCGTTTATGTACTATATAATAGCCCCTTACATGTTAGGGCTGTCGTAGCAATGACTTGTATGCTGCTTAAAGGACGAATTCACGATGAAAAAGCAACCCATTTCAAATTAACCTAGGGATGGTGAGTGGTACACGAAAGAAGGAAGAACCATGAGAAACGGCCCAGAACCCGAGAAATGGGACCCCTTCCTTGCCCGTTGATTTGAGCATTGATGCGACTCTCATCGCTGTGCCCTCTTCAACACTACGCTCTCTCACCTATCTAATCACTCACCACGTATAGACCTGCGGCGAGTGATCAGATGATCGGTGGGCGTGCACTGACCAGCCGCGGCGGGATTAAACCTTAATAGGTCAACGAGGTCAACTCCTCCTGTGCAAATTGTGCTTCAGTTCGCACACTTAGGAGCTCCGCGGGTCCCTCAACCAGGTGAATTCTTCCTAATTCGATTTTCCCTCTGATCGTGAATTCGTCCTTTAAGTAATGTTTCCGTAATTGGTAAGTAATTACGGTACAGTAATCATAATTGAAAGTTATTACGCTATGCTATGGTGGCTTAGATGTCATGGTACGATGGTACGACCAATATGCTAATACGGATACTTCTAAAGAGCTGCAAATTTACCTGACGCACACTGTCGACGATCGCCCAAACGACACTCGCTTGAGGATTTTCTCTTTTGAAAACTCGAGCCGACTCTTCGAAAATCGGCTTCAAACGCCGAGAGAACGGGCACCAATCGGCACAAAATGCAACGAAAACTACCTAAATTGCAAAGGAAATGTTTTGATTCTGAAGCAGTTTTTAGGAAGTTTCTAATTTTGCGTCACCTCAAAGGATAAATTGCTTTCGTGGAAGGTTGAACCTAATCTTATTTAGGAAAGCACTTTGACTTTCTGTTATATTCAAATTTTACTTACTAAAAAGAGTAAACATGATGGATGGAAGGTGAAGCGGTCTTGATGACGCTACCGAGCAGCACTGGTGGAAGAGCTTACCAGGAAAGGATGATGGGTCGAAGTGGCCATATGCAATGAGACCTACACCGTGGATGTGTTTTGGACGCTGATCTCGAATCTGCTTTCCAAATCTGCCAATCGATTTTCTGAACGGAGTTATGAAGCAAAATAGAGCAGCGGTAGTGGTCCGGCTCACGGGCGAGAGGTCGTAGGATCGATTCCCTGACCGGTGATTTGGCTACAATTTGCTTTCAGGAGTATTGGGGTATTTTCATCTCCGAAACACGAATATCACACTGTCTGCTGCAAAAACGTCTGTCCAAGAGTTCTGTGGGCTCCATGTGCAGTCTTTAGTAAGTACCGCCGAAACTGATTAGAAACTCCTCGCAAAGTCTTTGCACGGGTCTACAGGCAAGCGTTGATCAAATAATGCAATCAAGTAGCCTTTTTGGACCATGTTGCAGCGAAGGCAAAAGGGAGAACCGTCAGGGAATCGATCCTACGACGTCTCGCACGTGAGCCCGGACTACTACCGCTGCACTACTTTCCTTCATAACTCCATTCGGAAAATCGTTTGGCAGATTTGGAAAGCAGATTCGAGATCAGCGTCCAAAAACGCATCCAACAGGTGTAGGTCTCTTTACATATGGCCACTTCGACCCAACCATCCGTTCCTGGGTTAAGAATAATCACGAAGTCTCCAGCGTGCGGACCTAGTCACTATTTATGTCCAATGATGTCTCTGAAGCGCCCTGCTTTCCAGCAGTCCTGTTTACTGCCCTAACTTTTCTACTCGTGAAATAGCTAATTTAACGAGCAATGAATGCTATGAACATCATAGTCTGCCTTCGCACATTTTCTGGCGAAAGGCGCTGAGAGCCTTTCTCCGACACCTTGAGAAGTTGACATACTCACCTACTCCAGTACATAACGTAAATGACTGGCCCTACGAGAAGCAACTCTGCTCAGAGCGGAGTCTTAACGGGACGGAAATATACAGCTGGCATGATTGAAGAAGTGGCCCAAATTTCGATTGCTCATTCTTAGAAGGCTGAATTAGTCGCAACTATGCAAAGTATAATTGTAGCCATGTGGAGTATAAGCCCCATTTTCGATTTTTAGACTGCGCAAAGGTATTACAGTGCCACCGGTGCATTTTTTTTCGAGTCGCACTTTGTTAATTTCCTTAAGCCACGAGTCAGGATTAGGCAACCAGCAGAAGTTCTTCCCAGGGTGTGATAGTGGGCTTCCCAAGCACTAAGGACGCGACACTATCGCGACCCAAAAGTGCGCGGCAATGGCGCTAAGGCCTTGCCCGCCGCGCTGCCCGCGCTGCCAGCGTAATCCACCGCGGCATGACGTGGTCTCTGCGTCCTCTTGCGTACGACGTATCATCTCGCGTTCTCCCTCTCCTTGCAGCCCTGTGTCTCTCCGTCGGCTTACGGCCGTCCTCCTAAGGATTTGAGGTGGTTGATGGGCGTGTGTGGCGTTTGTCGTTCGATCTTAAATCATTGAGTTTCCTGCATTCGAACCCCTTGCCTAATGGTTTGAACAAAATAAAGCATCAATTCGATCGCCGACTCGTGCCTTCAGCTTGATCGAAGAATCAGCTACTGTGCTCATCTTTTAGGGAAGCGTTGAACTAGCCATTAGTGATCAGCATTCAAAGTCTTGACGGAGGGTTTGAGACCTGAGTGAGTAAAAAAAAAAACAAACAGTTTCTGGAAAAAACTTATTGTAACATTGCCAGCAAAAACTGCTTAATACGGAGTGGAACGCTGGGGGTGAACATCACGAAAATAACAACCAAAAATGTCGGCGGGCAAGAGCTCAGACAGGGTCAACCGTCCGTTGGACAAAGTCCAACGCGACGACGAGAGTAATGCCGAGAGTGAACGTACGCACGGAGACACAGACGGCTCGCGGGTGGCGAGAGTGAATGCCGGCGCGGAGAGCGGTGAACATCGGTCCAACGTCGCTCCAATATCGGTCCAACGTAACGGTTGACCCTGCTTGGAAGTTGGGGAGCTCGCTTCCAGCGCCCTATCATGCTGTTGACAAGGTACCATTGCACGGCAAGTGCCACTTACATTGGGTAAGTAGGTCCCTTATCCAATCCACTATGCATCTTTTCCATTCGTTCCTACAGAAATTATCACCACCGCTTTCTCTAAATGACTTTCAAGCACGTCTGGCACTTCCTGGGTTTTATACCGGCCAGTTGCTTCCCGTGCTCGGATTGACATAAAGCATAAGAAGGGAAGGTTGACGCTTTTTGAGACATTTTAGCTTACTCTTTAAACTATTTATAGCTCGAAATTAATGAGATGACATGGAAAAGTGGTCTCAGAAAAAATCACTAGAGCACACTAGAAGTGCTAATATGGTAATGTCCGGACTTTGGCTCTGAAGTAACATTCCTATGAGAGCTAGTTTGAGCAGCACTTGATCATGATTTTGCATTGACAACTCTCGACTGTGGCGACTTCTTCTTGGGCCAAGGAAGAGCATATCGTCAAAAGGACCACAACGAGAAACAAACACCACTCCCTCATTGTGTACCCGCTGAAATGGAAAATTCAGTCTGAAGCATTTGTTCCGTAATGGTAAGCGAACGGACGAAGAGCTAAAGAGGAATGCTCCACCCTTGAAAAGAAAACAAGAGGACAGTCACAAAGTACCAGGAATAAAATATGAGAACACGCAACAACAACGGTGAGTCGAGCGAAATGTCACTTGAGCAGCATTACAGGAGACAAGATAGAATAGAGAGCTGGAAGATGGTCGCCATTGCCCAGGCGCTTAGATGTGCCGCTCATCACGCCTTCTACAGGAGCCATGACTAGACTTCCAGCGAATTGCTTGAAAAATTACCTTTCAGTCCAGTTTTTATACTAGTCACAATAACTTATATCATAACCTGAAGACATAGTAGACCAGGATGCCTGGAAAAATACGAGTTTGAGATGGGATACGGGCCGACGAAGAATTTGCTAAGACAAATACGCGCACTCAGAGAATCCTTCATAATTCATTGTGACTGAAGCTGACAGCGTTATATTGCCTTCCCACATGGATCGGAACGATAATAAATAAGGACACGCATCCCTTATTCTGAGCGCAGAAAAAAGAGAGCCTCAGGATTTTACAACCTGATCTCCTGACAAGGGATGGTCGTTCAGGGTGTGCCAAGCTTTTTCAAATGGTTTCTTGCATGACATGGGGCACATGTGGGAACCACAGAACCACGGTTCATTTTTCCTGAACTGCCCTCTATAAGGGAGAAAAAATCATTATAAACGAAATAATTAAAATGTTTTGTTTCGCTCTTCTAAATACCAGAAAAAGGGGTTTCGATGGTTACCTCTACTCAGGAATCTCTCCTTTTATTTGAAGATAATCCCCACCCCAAGCATCTATGACTGGAAACCGATGCCTATCAGCGCAGGAGAAAGTACCTGAACAAATGAGAGCCATCTGCCCACAGCCGTAGCAAGCGAGAGTACGAACCAACTGATAAAGCCGATGCAGTGTTTGCGCATCGAGCTACCGCTTAAGCACTCGCTGAACGAGCGTGCGTCAGCGAATCGAACTATTACCTCGCGACTCGGGGCACCCAAACATTGGAAGAATCAGCGCCGCGGTTCGAACAGGTGTCTCCTCAAAAGGACTTCCTTTAAACGAGGGTCCCGTCACTTCCAAAGGAGATCGCTGTATATTCGCCTCGCGTGTGCATCGGTCGATTCGCTGGCTTAAAGCCACGATGACCAGATAGTGGCTCCTGAACAGCACTAGGCCACGGCAATTCGTCGCCACAATGCGCGTAAGCTTGCTGAAGGCCACTGCTCGCCGCGCTGCCCGCGCTGCCCGCATACACCACATAATGATTTGCCTTCGCGACTCTCAAAATATACGTTACTTACACTCGCGTTCCTCACTCTCCCGAGCGCTGGTGTCCTGCTCCCGGTCGTACTAAATCGGCCGCCTGCGCTACCAGGACTACCAGGAAGGTCTTTCAGGACATGGAGCCCTTTTTGAAAACGGTTTTTTGCATGATAAAGGGGCACATGCATGGAGTACAAAACTAGGCTCCATTTTTTCTGAGCGGCCCTGTGAGTGCCAAAAAAGGTATGAAAAATTGGTCGAGGGATCGGTCCCGGCTGATGACAAAATTTTGCATTGCATGTTAGCGAACAACTCCAAATGTTACCGCCGATAAAAATAGGTACTGTTCTTACAATCAGGGTCATCATCAACCTTTCTGATTAGCTTTCTGCCCAGAATTGGGGCGAAAATTGTATGGCGCTAAAGCGGCGCCGAGTTGGTGCCCGAGGAGGCTAAAATGGCGCAATATCGCGCCTCCATCAAAAATGGACGTCAGATTCGTAATCAGCGCCTATAATTACCCTTATAGCCGCAGTTTAGAGAAGATCAAAGATTTCGGCGAATCAAAAAGTTGGGCATGTAGCCATAGCATCATACGGTTAATGCACGTCTTGCCTCACTGGAGACACTTCGAGAGATAAGTAAGCGCACTTCCTGTAATAGTTTTAACTTTTTCACCGCAGTTCCTGCCCATGGGACAATCTGGCATCACCCCTTGATCTCGTCGATGCATGGCGTATGCCTGGGTGGGCACTGGCATACGTCGACGAGCATCCTGGACGTTGCTCAACGCCGGCAGTCGGCCTTCAAGGGAAATGGAGTGGCTTGTTATCAGAAGACACACTTCACTTTCCTGCTTCGTTAGAATGCAGTTGGTGTAATCCGCCCTGTGCTTCAACATGCCTCATTGACTTTACCAAACGCATATAGTTTATATATCTTTAAAGAAATTTCGTGCACAAACGAAAAACATTGGAAATATCGCAAAATTGTGGGAGAAAGTTCTTGGAAATGACACCTATAGGCTTTAAGTTCACGCGCAAGCACATGTAAATGCAAAAAAGTGATAATCGGAAAAATGCAAAAATCCGACCATGGAGGGGAACCGAACCAACAACTTCGAACAAACCGTGCCAAACCAGAGCCCATCACGCTATCCACTCGACCATCCGAACACCGGGCTGGGTATACCGAACTGTCAACGACTGATGAAACTTTCTTGTGCTTTGAGCACTTATTATATACAATTTTGGTATTGGCTTTATTCCACGCTGTTTTCAACGTTCAGGTGAAGAAAACCTTCTATTGTGCGTCCACTTAACATAACGAGTGATATAAACCACGTTGAAGGTGTGAAAACTCCGATTTCTGAAGAAATTTTTTCACTCCTTTTTTGGCATCAGAGGGCCGCTCAGAAAAAATGGAGCCTAGTTTTGTACTCCATGCATGTGCCCCTTTATCATGCAAAAAACCGTTTTCAAAAAGGGCTCCATGTCCTGAAAGACCTTCCTGGTTAAGTGTTTTCCGATTGTGCTTGCTTGTTCTCCTCACTAATACCTATTGCTACCCTTGCCTAAATTAACAAATAAGCATCAATCACTCCGCTCATGCTCTTCAAGTTCGTCGCGGGGGGTGCAATGTAGGATTCGCTGGTCGCCAAACACTCTTTACCCAGCGATTCGCAAACTATGACATCGGCCTAAGGTTTGAACATATGGAGTTTGTCTCTCACATGCTCTGAGCCCGAATCAGCTCTAAACCCGATCTGACATCATCATGTTCCTATTGGTTTCCCATAGTTCCTTCGAATGACCATCCATCATACTCATCGGTGATGTGGACTGGGTGCAGTGTGCTAACAAATCCACAAGCCGCAGTAGCTTAGCTTAAACGATTCGGGAGTTCTGACAGCAAAAACCCAACTCCCTCTGAATTCGAACTTCCTGAGTCGTTGGCGGAATACGAGAGGGCCTTTGCGCTGGGAACCGGCACCAACTAATACCAGTGTCAGTGATGAAGATAATCGTCGACAGCTTGATGGCACGCCTTCAACTTGAAAGCAAAGTAAGACAAAATCTATTTTTCTGAGGTCGTTCGAGTCCACCTTGCTAAGAAAATTCATAAAAATTGGAGACTCTCGGGCGGTCAGTTCTTTTAGCTCCGCCTTGTAGCACTAATCCTGTGCCAACGAACGACTATCCGCTCTCCTCTCTCAATCACCTTCTGGAGAAGAAATCTCACTTGAATCACCATGAAGTCAAAATCGACATCCAATTTTTCTTCGATCAGAACTCTATGAAATTCTACAAGAGAGACACTGAATACCCACCCTCGCATTGGCGATATGTTGGTAATAATGGTGATGTATACTATGCTGAATAAATACATCAGAGAAATAAGATAAGTAATTGAAGTCGAAAAACACCAAAGTGTCTCAAAAATTATGGACCGACCTAATAGAACCACCATGGAAGTTAAAGCTCACTGAACATTGCTGTTCACTTTCAAGTGTATTAGACATGCATAAAAAGCCTGATGTCAATCCCGACTCTCATTGGAGTCGTGGAGGAATTCGCATGCAAATTGTGTCTGTTCAATGAATTGGGCTTGCCAACTGATATTTAAATTTTCATAGCACTGGGGCTTCTATTTTTTTGTGGTGGAAGAATTTCTAAAGCCTTTCATGAGTGTTATTCTTGATCGATTTTCTCTTTTCTGCGGGAAGGTTGACTCGAGGATTCAGGTCACTGATTACAATTGATAGTGAAAAAGCATTAACCTTGGGCGTCTTCTGAGTTTTCGGTGCTTGCGGTCAAAGGCAACGAGAAAGGAGCGTGCATATAAAATACCACCGACAAGCACCCTCGTAGGGAAGGGACGCCTCAATGTGGGGATACAGTGATGCCTGGCTCAAAGCAAAAAACTGGTACCATAGAAAAAGTTCGAGTCTTCATGTCGAAGACGTTCATATGTAGAACAGTAACAAGGCGGCGGCCACCAACGCATTGTTCATGAGTCGAATTGCTAGTCAATCCGCTCACCATCAGATCACGCTCTTCGACTCAGGTTCAGTGATATATTTCAAAACAACACAGACCTGGGCACTGAATGTCCCCTGTAAGCCTTTCAATACGCCTGACCATAAGAGACTGCCAGATATCACTGTGATTACAAAGATAAGGCGTATGTGTCGCGTTATCCCGAGAGGGGATTGATCAATATGCAACCATGAAAAAAATACAAAAAAAAACTGTGCGCATTCCCAAGAATGCTGGGTTGTGAACAAAACTTTCGCCCCAGGCGGGACTAGCGAGAGGTGCGGGTTCTAGTCCCGCCTGGGGCGAAAGTTTTGTTCACAACCCAGCATTCTTGTGAAACATTCGCAACGCGAACTGCGGCGTTAAAACAGCAGTTAACAAACAAAACAAGTCAAAATCGTATTCATTATAATTTATACTATAAGAAGTATTATCTAGCGAACAAGGTGG